GGGCTGGGGGTCCAAGTCAACTCCTTTCATTGTTTAGGGGCGGTGGGGAGGGGGAGACCCTGTAGCCTCCTTCCCCATCCATCCCTCCCCAGCTTGCGGAGGCCCCACTTCTGCCCGGCACCACTGGGAGGGATTTGGGGAGGGGGCGCAGGGGACGGACGAGAGCGGAACGTGAAGGCTCGCTGCCTCGGCCGGGAAATCGCTACCCGCTGCCCCAATGCCCTCGCCTTCCCCGAAAGGCGGGGAGCAGGGCGGGGGAGGGGGCGCCGAGGCCGGGGGGGTCTCCCCGCCCCTCCCCCCGTGGAACGTTAGGTCTCGTTTTTCCGCCGCTCCATTGTATCCCCGGCAGCCGGCGGGAGGGCCGGAGCGGCACCGGGCGCCGGGCTTGGGCAGGGGAGCTGCGGAGGGGGGGTCCCCGTAGGATCGGGGCGGCGGCAGCGGCGGGAGAGACCCGGGGTGGGGGGTGCCGGTGGTGGTGGGCGCCGAGCGAAAAAAAAGAGAGAGAGGCAGCGGACGCTGCGCCCCGGCTGGGGGGCTGAGAGTGAGAGTGTCGGGGGGGTGGGTTCGGCCCCGGCTCGGGCTCCCCCCACACACACCCTCGCCGCCAACCCCCACTCCCCCCTCGCTTTTGCGCCCTGTCACAGCCCCGACTCGCAGGTAGAGAGAGTTAAGAGATTTAAAGAGAAATTGCTACATTGTGAGAAACTCACCCTGATGTTTGAGCAGCCGTCGGCGCGGGGTCTCCGAGACGGCCCCGCACGGGCTGCAAAGGGAGGACCCAGAAGGGGCCGACCGGCCGGGCCGGTCAGCGCACTGCCTGATCGCATGGCGGCCGCTCGGCTGCGCGCCGGGCCCCGCCGCCGCCCCGCGCCGCGGCCCGCGCGCCCCGGGCCCGCGCCCGCTCCGGGGAGCGCCCCTCGGGTGTGCAAAAAAAAATTTTTTAATTAAATGCAAAAGAAAAAAAAAAAAACCTTGCAGGTTTTTGTGTCCCGCCCCCCCTCCTCTTCCTCCTCCTCCTCTTCCTCCTCCTCCTCCTCCTCCCTCCGCCCTCGCCGGGGGATGGGCTTGGGGGAGGCCCCGCCCCGCGCCTCCGCTAGCCAGCCCCGGCCCGGCGGCGCCGAGCGGCGGGCCCGGGAGCGAATGGGAGGCTGCGGCCGCCGGGGAGGGCGCCTTGCGCACGGCGCCGCCCCTCCCCCAGCCGGCCCGGAGTTTGGGGGTGCGCCTGCCCGGGCTCCGGCTGTGTCCGCTCCCCGAGCTGCGCTCCGGGTGGCAGTGGGAGGGAAGCCGAGGGGCTTTGCCGCCCAGACCCCGCTTCTGGCCCGCCTAGAACGGGACACCGTGCACCCTGGCGCGCCCCCCGAGGCGGGGGGCACTGGCGCGGCGGGACGACGCACCCAAGGGGAGCATCGAAGGTTCGAAAAGGAAGCGGGAGTCGATCATGGAGGAGGAGAAGATGAGTCCCCGGAGGAGACCGCGAAGGGATCCGGAGTCGGAGCCGATCAGGTGGAAGGCGACGGCGTCTTTGGGGTGACCTGCCGGGCCCCCCGGGCGTGGCTAGATTACTTACCGAGTCCGTCTCTGTCGCGGCGGAGCCGAGGACGCTGGTCTCCCGGAGGCCTCCCGGGCCGCGCTGATGGGATTCCCAGAAGCCCCAGGACGCCTCCGTAGTGTCGGGTCCGCTTCCGCCCCACCGGGCCGGGAACGCCTCGCCGGCCCGACACTTGGATTCACGCGTTCATTTGCGGATCGCTTGGTGAGCGCCCACTGTGTGCCCTGAGCGGCGCAGGGGGCCCAGCGGGAACCGCGACTGCCCAGGCCTGCCCTCCCGGGGCGGAGGGGCCCTAGAAAAGCTGGTGCATTCAGTAGGTGCCCAATAAATAGGTGCTGAATAAATGAGAGATTGAGCCATAATATATGCGTTTTAAGCCTTGGCATTCTAATGTCTTGGCGGTACTGCCTGTAATATTAAGACATACATTTTTAAAAGTGTATTTTTAAAAATTAATTGTGCATGGCCCTGACTCAAACCAGTCAACTCCTTTACATTCTTCTCTTTCCACTTTGCCGTGTGATGTTGGGTAAATTACTTCACCTTTCTGGACTTCTATTTCCTCATCTCTAAAATGCCCACACGGCTCAGTCTGTTAGGAAACACAACAAGTAAGCAAATAAGTCACTTAGTCTCAGTTGCCCTTCTTGGTCTTGACCTACAGATCTCAGGTTTCTTTGGTAAATTATGGTATATTTCTACCCCTATAATGTGCCCAGCGTTTAGTGCTCAAGAAAGATTTGCTGAAAAAAGAAACAAATAAAACCTACCTTTCGCCCCTCCTACACACACCCGACCTCTTAGGGGTGACCTTAACATCTTGCCACTTGGAATGAGCCTGGCTGGGTTTGGAAGAGCCAACAAAAGCCCAGCCCCAAATCTAGTCATGGCTGCCAGTCAAATGTCCATCTTCCCTGCTCTGCTCTGGCCCCTGACATCCTTGAAATCCTGACCAAACTTCAGAGTTGATGACAGGTGTTGTCAGGGCTGCTCTAAAAGCAATGGGTAAGGTATGAGAAATGCCCCATGGTGAGGAGCAGCCAAAGGGATGGCCAAGGGCCTGTGTTGGGCCCAGTAGGGGTCCTGATGAACTGAGATCCACTGTCCTTTGAAAGTGACACCCTTTTCCTTTGAGAACTGGAGGCATGCTGTGAGTCCCGGATTAAGCTTTGGTTGTGAGACCAGACAGGTTCTGAGACTTGCCCCAGGCTACCCCATGCAGGGCGGGAGCTAATTCAGTACACCTGAGTCACCGGATGATTTAGAGACAGGCGGCTCACTTCTCCAACTCCTCCATTTTCTTATCTGTTCAACGTGAGTACTTAGTGAGACACCCAAATCTGCCTGAACCCCAGACATTTTGTTATGAAAATGTCTTAACATGGAAGAAGCAGAAGAAATATTACGGTGAAATGCTAAAAATCCACCACTTGTTTATTCGTACATTACTTGCTTTACCACACATCTGTGCATCTGTGTCTGCCAAACCCATAGTATTTTTTGATGTGTCTCAAAGTAAGTTGCAGACATCTGTTTACCTCTCCTGAATGCATCTGTATATGCATATCATTAAGCACAGAACCGTACCTGCCACCTCTCACCATTATAATAACAACCCCTGGGCCAGGCACTTTAACCTCAGTTCTATCCTTATTCCCATTTGTGAAAGATAAATGGGTTCATGGGGCTGGGGATGTGGCTCAAGCGGTAGCGCGCTCGCCTGGCATGCGTGCGGCCTGGGTTCGATCCTCAGCACCACATACAAACAAAGATGTTGTGTCCGATGAAAACTAAAAACTAAATATTAAAAAATTCTCTTTTCTCTTTCTCTCTTTAAAAAAAAAAAAAAAAGATAAATGGGTTCAAAGAAAGTCACAACCAGAGATTCAGATTTAGCTGTCTCCATATTCCAGACTTCCTTGAATGCTAACTTGAGACTCATTCCCACACAAGTCTCTGTATTCCCTGTCCTGACGCAGGCTGAGGGCTGGGCAGGTGAAACACACCTCACAAATGCTTGTTGAATAATAAAGGGGCCCAACCGAGATTACTGTGAGCTTCCCCTTTAGGCCCTGCAGCCACTCAACACTTAGGTGTGGCTCCAAGAATGAAAATCCTGTCACTGCAATGAGTGTGAGTTGTTTTTTTTTTTTTTTTTAGTTGTAGTTGGACACAATATTTTTATTTATTTTTATTGATCTTGGCCTACAGATCTCAGGTTTCTTTGGTAAATTATGGTGCTGAGGATCAAACCCAGTGCCTCACATGTGCGAGGTGGGTGCTCTACCACTGAGCTACAGCCCCACTCCGTAAGTGTGGGTTTCTGAGTCCCTCTCACCATTTTGTAGGTTATTGTAATTATAATGGTGCAGTTGAAAAGGAACAACAGGAAATCACTTTATTTGGTGTAGAGGGGTCCAGTGAATTGGAGAGCTGCTCTTCCACAACCAGGGCACTGGCTCCAAAAACCCTTTCCTCTCCCAATCCTCCAGCTCAGGGAGCGCCCCTTCTCCCATCCACTCGCAGGTCTAGCATGAAGTGGACCACGTCCTAACTCCCTTCATCTCTAACTGAGCCCTGCATCTCCAACCCACCCATCAGAGCAGTTTCCACGCAGCAGGACCACTATGGTTGATAGATCACTACTTCCATAACGAAAGAAGTGTTTTTGTTTTGTTTTTAAACAAGTACTTTGTACCTCTGAAAGTCAAAATAATGTCCTTCACGGCTCCTCCGCTGCACTGGCGACTGTAAAGTCTTAAACTTAGCCAACCCAACTTGTTTCTCTCTCTGGGAGGATGCCAGCATCACGTGCAGTTCTAGTTTTCAGTCGAGCAGCACACACGTTACTGCATTTTTTCGTATGTACATAACACTTCAATAACAAGGGAAAACAAACGAAAACTTTGCCGAGTCCTTAAACACTCCTGTGGCCCCTCCAGGTTTCGATCAGTGGGGTGAGGAAAGAAAGTGTCCATCAAAGACCGTTCCTTGATCTGGGTTTTAGCCACCAGGCAGAGGTAGAAAGGGAGGGAAATAAAGCATGGATTCCAGGAAGATTTCTGCTCTTGACCGGCCCTTTAAGTGTGGCTGTTACAGCGGAGTGCGCTGCCTCACCTCCCTGCCCTGCTGGCCCGCCGGGAGCAAGGACCGCGGGTGGTGACAAAATCAGGCAGCTACGAGCCCAGCCCGGCCTCGGGTCCTCAGCGCGGCAAGTGCGGGGGGCGGAGCCTGATCGCCTATTGGTCCTTGTTTGGGGCGTGGTTACAGCTCAATCCCGCCCCGCCCCTCCGCCGGGTTAAATGGGTCTCGCGCCGGGGCCCGGGAATTATTCATCGGGGGTGGGGCCTGAGTTTGTTTACACGCTGCGATTGGCTGGATTTGAATCGGGCCGACAGCCGGTGGGCCGCGGGGCGGGGCTCCAGAGGGCGGGGGGCCGGCGTCTGACAGCTCCAGTCAGGCAGGGCCGCGCCGACGCGCAGCCCGAGAGCTCGGCGACCCTGGTAATGGCCAAAAGGCCAGTACCCGGAGAGGGTTGGGGCACTCGCTGGTTTCCCGATAAATGTTTACCAAGAGGGGAGGGTGAGTAGCGTTGTTTTGTTTTAATAAAAGTTCATAAGGAAAATCAAAAAGGGTAGACACAACCTAGTTGTTCATCTGTGGGGGACTCTACAACGTTGTGGTCCATCCCACAAGGGGACAGGAAGTAGCTGTCGAGTGAGGAAGTGATTCATGAACTGACACAGAACAACCTGTGTATTCAGACCGACTCGGGGAGGGAGCAAATAAGAGAGCAGAGTATCTAAAATTGTAAAAAGTGAGGATGAAAAAATAACAGGCTTAGAAACAAGTCGTAAGAGCCATAGCCTGTGGGGAATGCGATAGGGATGGGTAGGTAGATGCTTATATACCTTTGTAAACTTTGGACCTTGCAGGTTCAGCACAATAAGAGATTAACAGTAATAACTAATAATAAAATAGAACAATTATTACAGTGTACTGTAATAAGCCAGGTGCAGTAGGCACACCTATAATCCTAGTGATTCCGGAGGCTGAGGAGGCAGGAGGATCAAAGTTCAAGGTCAATGTCAGTAACTTAGTGAGACCTTGTCTCAAAAAAACAAAAAGTGCTGGAGTTGTATCTCAGTGGTAGAGCACTCCTGGGTTCAGTCCTCAGTACCAAAAATACCCCTCAAAACAAACTCAAACTCCCCCCAAGAAAACAATAACAATACACGGTGATAGAAATTATTTAAAACTAATGAATTATTTCAGGAATTTTTCCATTTAACATTCTGGTTAACATCATGGTTACTTGTTGGTGTCTGAAACTGCAGAATGTCAAACCCTGGATGACAGGTGACCGCTGTATTTTAACTGCACTGGAGGGGCCATTTCCTTGGCAATGATTGAGAGAAGGGGAGTTGGAGAGACCCACCAGGTGCTCCTAGGAAGGAGGAGAGAATATCAAAAGTAGGACAGGCCCTCTTTAGGGAGCTGGCCTGTGGTCACCATGATAGGCAGTGGAAAGAGCTGAGTGGGCTTTGACTCTTGTTATTACTCTCTGTTCCCAGAGATCCCAGGGAGAGAATGAAATGGACTGCCTGCCGCCAAAGAGACTGGATTCTTGGTTGGGTCCAGATTTCTCTTGTGAAGTCCTCCCCCATCTGAGTTTGCACCAGGATTTGTGCAACCTGGTTCAGATGGCCATGGAAGTCGCCCATGGCTGGAGTGAAAATTTGCCAGCTCCGAGATGCTATAGTTACAAGCAATGCTTAACCCACTGGTACTACCAGGAGGTGGTAGGTGCTCCTGTCATCTCTTGTTTGCAGATGTGGAAACAGGGCCACAGACAGGTGACCAAATTGTCAAAGTCATGTTTGCAGGGATTCAAACCCAGTGGCCTTGCTCTGAAATCTGTCCTATCCACTAGCACTTTACCTGTGGTACAACCACTCCTAAAAATCTTTCTTTTGATGTCTCGTTTTCAGAGCTGAGGGTGCTCTACCACTGAGCTACATTCTCAGCCCAATTTATTTTTTTGTTTTGGGACAGGGTCTTGCTAAGTTGTCTAGGCTGCCCTCGAATTTGCAATCCTCCTGCCACCTCAGCCTTCCGAGTTACTGGAATTACAGGTGTGTGTGCCCCCATGCCCAACTTCAAAATTATATGAAGCTTTAGGAAGATTCTTTTTTACCCCTGGAACTGAGGATTAAACCCGAGTCTCTAGCATGCTAAGCAAGTTCTGTGCCACTGAGCTCCACCCCAGCCCTCGTTCATTTTTTAATAAAAGAATTTCTGATTGTTTTTCCTAAAATCTTATACCAGAGCAAACACTTCTATTCTGAGCACCTTCACAGTGGGAAAGCTTTCCCCTAGGCCTTCTTTCCCCTCTGCCCTGCTAAATGGTTACCTGACCCTAACTGGGTGCCAGGCACACGTTAAAGCCTTTATATACACTGAATCTTCATAATGGCCTTGAAGGAGGAGCCAGTGTCCTCATTTCACAGATAAAGAAATAGACGTAGGGCTGGGGATGTGGCTCAGAGGTAAAGCGCTCGCCTAGCATGCTAGAGGCCCTGGGTTCGATCTCAGCACCACATGAAAATAAAATAAAGATATTGTGTCCACCTATAACCGAAAAATAAATATAAAAAAAGAAACAGGCACAGAGAAGTTAAATCATTGGCCTAAGTTCTCTCATTTCTCCCCAGAGAAGGCACAAGAAGATGAAGAATGGCTGGGGAAGAGGAAGGTGTCCTCTTCTGAGAGGGAGAGAAAATAATGGGAATTCAGTTCTTTTTTCTTTTCTTTTTCTTTTTGCATACTCGGGGCTGACCCCACGGCCTAGTGACTTGTGAATGTGGGAATGGTGGTTCAGGAAGGTGGTGGGAGCTGGGGTCACATTGCAAAGGTGGTGAGAAAATAGCCAAGAAGCACTTGAAAAGATGGACAATTCAAGTCAAAACCACCATGAGATACCACTTCACGCCCACGAGCATGGGTAGGATCCAGAAAGGGGAAATCAGCAAGTGCTTGCTGGCCAAGATGTGGAGAAGTCACGCCCCTCTTTCCCTGCCACTGGAAAGTGGTGCTGCCACTCTGGAGAAGAGTTAGTTGGTTCCATGATAAATTACACCTAGAATAACAACCATATTACCACTCACGTGTATGTCCAAGTAACTGAGCACAGGTGTTCAAGCCATCCCTTTTCACAAATGTTCGTGGCAGCACTGTTCACAATGGCCAGAAGGTGGAAGCAACCAAACTGCCCAACTATGGAGGAATGGAAGAATGACACATGGAAGGTACCTGTGAGGGAATATTATGCTGCCATATAAAGGAAGGAAGTGCTGACACACCCTGCAGTGAACCTGGAGAACTTGATGCTTTAGGGCTGGGGTGCTTGTAGCTCAGGGGCAGGGTGCTTGCGTAACATGCAAAAGACCCTGGGTCCCATCCCAGGGACCATGGAAGAATAAAAATAAAAAGGACACTTACTGAGTGACTCCATTTAAATGAAATGCCGGAGGAGGCTGATGCTTAGAGACAGAATGAAGATTAGTGGTTGCTAGGGTCTGGGGGACAGGGAGGGAGTGGGAGTGAGCTTAGGGGATAGGCAGCTTCCTTCTGGGGTAGTGGGAAAGGTCTGGATTTAGACAGTGGTGAAGATCATCCAGCATTACCCACTTGAATCAAAGTGTGAAATATGATATATCAAGAACTATGTAATGTTTTGAACAACCAACAATAAAAAATTTTAAAAAAATGCTTTTGATTAAATGCACTACTTAAAAAAAAAAAAAGATCATCCAGCATTGTGAAGGTATTAATGCCACCTGCTTGAACACTTTAAACTGGTTGAAATAGTAAATTCATGTTATGTGTATTTTACTGCAAAGAATTTTTTAATGTTATATGTTTATACCTTTATTTTGTTTATTTATACGTGGTGCTGAGGATCAAATCCAGTGCCTCCCATGTGTGAGGCAAGCCCTTTACTAATGAGCTACACAGCCCCAGCCCCTAATTTACTTACTTTTATATTGTGCTTTGAATCCAACCCAGTGCCTCACATGTGCGAGACAAGTGTTCTGCTGCTGAGCTGCTACCCCAGCCCAATAAAAAGAACTTTAAAGAAGGGGGTGAGGAAGCAGAGGCGTTGCACATGTGTGGTTATTTCTTTTCTTTCTTTCTTCTTTTGAAACGGAGTCTCACTCTGTTGCCCAAGCTGGTATTGAACTCCTGGGCTCAAGTGACCTCGCCACCTCAGTCTCCTGAATGCTGGGACCTCAGGTGCTTGACACTGTGCCTAGCCAAGTATGTGGTTTTGCTAAACTGCTGAGGCTGGCCTCAAACTTGCGGTCCTTCTAATCTCAGCCTCCTGAGTCACTGGGATTACAGGCATGTGCCACTACACCCAGCCCAATTTATTTATTTTTCTTCTTTAGTGGTGCTGAGGCCTTGTGCATGCAAGGCAGGCACTCTACCAACTGAGCTATGTCCCCAGCCCTTATTTTTTAAATGATACAATATATGGCAGTGTTTGCAAGAAGAGCAACAAAGACCTGGGAGGGGCTGGTGAAGGACCAGAATGCCACAGTGTGTGGAGGTGGCAGCTGGGTAAAGTCCAGCCACACTGGGTTTCTTAGCACCTGCTCCAGGATTCCTAATAGACCCTGGACCCACCTCACAGAGCTTCGGATCTGTGGAACTCTGTCTCCAGAGTGGATGGGGCTGGAATGGGGGACTTGGGGCTGCGGGAGCCGTCGCCTGACCCGACCTGGGTTTGGGAGGGCTTCTTGGAGGAGGAGGATGGTAGGAAAGGCAGGGTGGAGAGGGGTATGGAGAGGGAACTGGGGATTCTAAGGTGTGGCTCAACCCGACCCGATGTGATTAAAGCCCTCCTGTGGCTCCCGGGTGCCACCAGACAAAGTCCAAGCTCCAGGGCTTGGTTGCCTGTTTTCCAGCACATTCGTCTGCCCAGTGCCCGCCCTGGAAGGGCAGCACTAGGGACATGCCAATGACCAGGCAAGCCCAGCCCTGTTCTCACAGGCTCACAACCAGAGAGAAAGGGAGGGAGGGAGGGAGGGAGGGAGAGAACATATAACCAAGCCTTGCTCTGGAGCCCACACAAGCCCGTTGGCTACACGGAGGTCAGGCAGAGTTAACGTCCCTGGAGCTTCCTGCCGTCTCTATTCCTAAAGGACCACATCTCAGTTTTTGCAGATACTGCCTTTTCTGTCTGTGCCTTTAATTTGTTCTTTCAACCAACTTCTTTCTTTTTCCCTGAGCAGATTTCCCCAGGGCTCCCACCCAGCTCCCCCTGAGCAGCACCCGCTGTGAACTCACAGGCCCGATGGGTGGGTCTTTCTTTGTGAATGCGCATTAAAGTCAATGCATGGCCATTAGGACAGGCCGCCAGGGAACTCTCAGGTCTGACCTTTGGAGCAGCAGCGAGGCTGGGGTGGGGGGTGCTGGAGCCCTCCTGAGGGAGGTCAGCGCAAGACTTGCCAGATGGAGAGGCAGACAAAGGGGAAGGTGGGGCAGGTGCAGAGGCCCAAGGGTGGCAGGTTGGCTGGAGGGGACAATATGTGGGAGGGGGGAGAAGAGGGGAAGCAGGAAGCCCAGTGAGAAAGATGAAGCTCACAGGAAGAGAAACAGGAGTTAGTTGAACCCCATTATTCAGGAGCCTCTCTGAGCCTTATGTCTTCAGAAGAATGGGACTAGGAGCTGGGCGCAGTGGCACTGCCATGATCCCAGTGGCTTGGGAGGCTGAGGCAGGAGGATGGCAGGTTCGAGGACAACCTCAGCAACTTAGCGAGGCCCTGTGTCAAAATAGAAAAGGAAGAGCCCTCTTGGGTTCAAAAAGAAGGATGTGGAGCAATCCCAGGCTGCAGGAGCAGTCCCTTTTTGGTCCTGAGAACAGACAACCTTCAGGTAGGTTTGATCCTTCCCGCTTCGTGGGGGAGGAGCAGAGGCACAGGGAGACACTCAGTCCTCCGAGGCCCCGGTGGACTGAGCCACTGTGGAGTTCTTCTCCGTAATTATTGTCATTATTTTCTGTCCTGCTCTGTGAGTTGGAATTTCTTTTTCATAATCAGACTCTAAATCGACAAGAGACATGGAAGAAGAGACAGAGGGTAGACAGTTCTTTCTGGAAGTTTGCATAGGAAATGCAGGGGGAGTGAGGCCAACGAGGGGGGATTTAAAATCATTTTTAATAAGAAGATTAAATATATATTAAAATAAAAGGGCACCATTAATTTCACATAACGGTCACTGGGCCTTGCCAATGATCAGCTCCATGTTGTCTTATTTCTGGAGTCTCCTGTCAACCTCCACTCTCACCTGCTGGATGACAGTTGTCCCCTGGTACCCAAGAGGGATTGGCTCCAGGACCCTTGTAGATATCAAAATCAGGGGATACTCAGGACCTTCGAATAAAAGGGCACAATATTTGCAAGTAATCTACCCACATCCTCCCGGGTACTTTAATCATCTCTAGCTGACTTTCAATACTTAGTCCAAGGTCAATGCTGTGTAAATAATTGCTACCCTGCTTTGTTTAGGGAATAATGACAAGAAAACTATCCACGTGTCCTGTGTAGGTGAAGTTTTTTTTTTCAATCCATGGTTGGTGGACTCTGCACTCTCAGATGTGAGGGTCAACTGTATTTTGATTCCTTCATTGATTTTTTTTTGTCTCCTCGGTGCTGGGGATTGAACCTGGGGCCTTGTGCATGCTAGCCAAGCTCTCTGCCACTGAGCCACAGCCTTGCTCCCTGACTGCATTTTAAAACACATCTCAGACATCACAATATTTCATCTACTTTTCATATCTCTGAAGGAAAGCTCAGGGTTTTTCTTTTTTAGTTGTAGTTAGACACAATAACTTTATTTTATTTAATGTGGTGCTGGGAGATCGAACCCAGTGCCTCCCACATGCCAAGCATGCACTCTGCCACCGAGCCACAGTCCCAGCCCAGAAGGTCAGTTTTTAAAAACAACCACAATCCCATGCTCCATCTAAGAGATGCCCAGGATTTTTTTTACATCATTGAAAATGCAGAGTTCAGATTTCCCCTGTTCTCTTCTTTTAATTATTATTATTGATTTGTTACAATCAGAATCCAAACAAGGTTCTTGTTTTGCATTGGGATTTGTTACGGGAGAGGCAGGGATATTTGGGGACGGGGACAGGTATGGGCTTTGTGACGGTTGACCTTGGTGGTCAGCTTGACTGCATTGAGAGGCCCTGAGAATTGGTAAAGCACCATTCTGGGGGTGTCGACAGATGTTTCCGGAGAAGATGGGCATGTGGGTCGTGAACTGAGTGGGGAAGGTCGGGGAGTGGGTAGCATCATCCCACAGGCTGGGGGCCTGGGTGGAACCAAAAAGCCGGAGGGGAAGCTCGCACCTCGACCCTTCCGGAGCAGATGTGGTTTTTGCTGCTGCTGCTGCTGGTGAAATCCAGGCTCCAGATTCTTCAGCCTCTGCGGGTGGACTGTCCCCGGGGCTTCAGGCCTTCAGTCTCAGGCTGGGGCTCCACCATTGGTCCCTCCTGTTCTGAGGCTTCCGCTTCTTGGCCTGGGCAGCAGCTGGTCTCTCTGGCTCTCCAGCCTGCAGACTGCCCTGGTGGGACTATTGGTCTCTGATTGTGTAAGCCTTTTTAATAAATCCTCTCATATAATTATAATATTCTACGGGTTCTGTCCCCTTAGAGAAGCCTGACTCCTACAGTCTGGCAGAGGGGGAGAGAGGTGAGAAAAGGTGGAGGAGGAAGGGGGCCGCACCTAGAGGAAGGAAGGAGGGAGGGAGGGACCATGACCTCTGTCCTTGAGTGAGAGGGTGGAACCCAGGAGCTGGGGGCTAGAAGAGCCTCCTTCAGGAGGCAGCAATGAGAGAGAAGGGGAGCCAGTGCTCTGGGGTGGGTGGCAGGGGGTTTCCTCTCCAAAGGCTTCTGTTTGCACAGGAAGCAGGGACCTGGTCATCATCTGGAGGGTAAGTGGGGAAAACTCAGCAGAGACCCAGGGAGAGGGCCCTGTGCTGGTTTTCTCTGATTCAGGTAAAACCCGTCAGGCTGGCTGGGTGGTTTCCTCCTGCTGGTCCAGCTGGCTGGGAGAATACAGATGGCTGGACCTTGGCCAGGTGAGTATTTTGGAGGCTGAGAGTCATGAGGAGGCTGAGAATGCTTGAAGAAAGTGATTCAAAAGATGACTCATGGAAGTGAGGCTGAGCAATGCCCAGGGGGTGAGGACAACCGGAAATGGCAAATGAGAGGAGGAGCCAAAGGTCAGGGTGGACCCTTCCCTCCTGGAGAACATCTTTTGCCTTGGCTTTGTTGGGGCTTCCCTTTTATTGGTTTTCCTTCCGCTTCCCTGTTTCTTCCTCTTCAATATTATCACTGGTGGATTCCCCGTGTCTGCACTTCTCATAGTACAGATCTGGGCCTCCTCACCTATTTTCTACCTTGTTTTCCTAACAGGATCATCAGTTTGAGGGTCATGGCTAACTGTCTTCCTTAAGGGAAATTTCCTGTTCCTAGAATGGTGTGTATGCAAGCACGTGTGTAGGGGCAGTGTGCAGAGAGGACCACAGGGGTGGTTTGGCCACTGCTGTCCCTGGAGAGCAGGATGGAGATTCCACTTCTGACAGGTGGGTTTCCCTGCAGCCACAGTGGGGATCCCCACTGGTATCACCAGGCCTGCTCTAACACAAAGCAGCGGCCACTCATGTGCCTGATGGACTCCTTCAGAGCCTGGTGCATGGGGCTGGCTGGCTGGCACCTGTGCCACACCGTGGTGTTTGGAGCTGGTTGGATACAGTGTGGTCACCCCAAGGAGAGAGGCTCCTGGGGGACTGCGAGTCCACCATCCCTACTGCCTCCTCCTTTGCAATTAAGGGTAGGACAGTTGGGGAAATCAGGACATGAAATACAAAATCACAGGATGAGTTTTGGTTTTGTGGGTGTGAAGCTGGGGTTGGAACCCAGAGCCCACACCTGCCCCTCCTGCCTGCTGGGCCAGTGCTCTCCCCTGAGCCACTGAGCCCTGGCCCCGGCCCCCAGGCATAAATCCTTTTTTTTTGTTTTTTGTTTTTTTTTGGTACTGGGAATTGAACCCAGGGGCGCTTAACCACTGAGCCCCATTCCCAACCCTATTTTGTATTTTATTTAGAGACAGGGTCTCACTGAGTTGCTTAGTGCCTCACCATTGCTGAGGCTGGCTTTGAACTCGCCATCCTCCTTCCTCAGCCTCCTGATCTGCTGGGATTATAGGCGTGTGCCCCTGTGCCTGGCCAGAGAGAAATCATCATGTTACGTGGAGTTCTCTTCTAGCCGAGCCGGACCCACCACACACGGAGGGGAGCTGGCACTGAGCAAGGTGGCTCCAGCTTAGCGGGGCTGTGACACTGTGAAGCCAAGGCCGACCTGCAGGACCCTCGTGTAAGTGCCAGTCACACTGTTCCCTCCTCTGGGGTGAGCCCTGGCTGAATCCAACCACCTTCATGCACCGCCCTCGCCAGGGCCCCGAGGGCCTTGCACAGCTCTGGAGTCAGCAGAGATTAGTCAATACTCGGCTGAATCATCTAGTCATTAAATGGCTGAACATCAAACTGCAAAACCAAATTTCTTTTTTCTTTTTCTTTTCTTTTGTCAAAATGGGGTCTCACTTTGTTGCCCCAGCTGATCTCAAACTCCTGAGTCCAAGTGATCCTCCTGCCTTGGCCTCCCAGCAGCCAGGAGTGCAGGTGAGGAGGAAACGCAATCATTCTGTGAAGTCCTAAGTTGAGTTACAGGAGGATGGAGGGGGGTGGAGGCCAATCTGCTCAGGCCCAGAGCAGAAAACACCCGGAGGCCGTTCGCATTCCTCAAGGTTGTTAAAGGCTCACCTGGGTGCCACCAACCCAGCTCACAACCCGCCCGTCCAGAAGCAGCCAGAGCCTCTCCTAGATGGTCCTCCTGTCCCAGCCTCCCCATCCCTGCGTCTGCCTCTTTGGCTGGTGCACTGCAGCGTGAACCCCTCGTGTTTTCCTTCCCCACATTTTTGTTATAAAACACACTTTGCGTAGCTCTCCTTGCTGTTTTCCCACTGGTGCCTCGCCTTGCTACTGGAAGTTGCAGGAACTTGTCCCGAGACCTGTCTTCTAGCTAATTTCTGAAGTGACTCCATAAAACCTTGTTTCTGAGATTCCTGGGTCCCCAGAGTTGTGATTCAGCACGTGCTGGTGGTTGGTTGCCAGACAAGTGCCACCTAACCCTCCTTCCCATCCCCGCCCAGCTCCTACAATCACCCACATCCACCTGGACACAAACCCTGAGGAGAGGAAAGCACTGGTCTGGGAGTCAGGACAGCTGCTCCCAACTTGCTGTGTGACTTGAGGTGAGACCATTCCCCTCTCTGAGCCTCCATTTCCAGATGTGCAGATGAAGTAGCTGGGCCACCTGCTCCTTTCCAGGTCTAACATCCTGTTTCCACCTTCCTAAATGGAAGTGATCAATTTGGCCAGATTGGGAAGGCAAAGTGAGATCCAGCATCTCAGCCCTGTTTCGGGGTGCTGACAGGAACTGTGGGTTCCAGTAGAGGAAGGATTGGGGCAGGGTGGGGGGGGGAGAGGGCTGTGTAATTAAGCAGTCACACTGTGGTCTGGTTGATTGTCGCGAGCCATCCTTGGGCTGTGTGTGACCTGGGCGCAACAGAGCTCTATGAGGGGACAGGTCTGGAGGTGGAGTCTGCACTCTCGGATGTGAGGGTCAACTGTATTTTGATTCCTTCATTGATTTTGTAATATTCTGTAATATTGTGTGATAACAGTAAAGCTTACCTCAAAGGACCTCATACTATCTCCATCTTAGACTTCAGTCACCTTCTGTCTACAGTGGATGAACATACCATCCAGCCCCCCTACAACTCAGCTAACTGGGCTGAGCCTGGAAGTGCGCCTCTCCTCTGGCTCTGCCTGTGATCGCACACAGCACCTGGGATGGGTGTGACTTGCCAAGGTATCAGTCAATCTGCTGACCAAGACATTGCAAAGCAAAACCCCACCTTTGAAATCTTACCCCTGCCTTATTTGGTGAGAACATTCCATCCAATCTCCTTTATGGGTCCCCCTATAAAAATAAAGGGATTCCGGGTGCACGCTGTCTTTCCTAGCCCACCCTCGGGGTCGCAGAGCCCTACCTCCATCAGAGACTCAGTTCCGTGTGTTGCGTGATTTCTTTGCCCTTTTCTTATCTTAGGGTTGCAGCCAGCTCTTGGGAGCCCTGTTCATCTCATCAGGGCGGGCAGCTGGCGAGGGCTGGTCATCTCAGTTCTGCTTCTGGCGAGGTGGCTGCTGGAAACTTCTTATCTCTGGAGGGCCAACTTCCACTGCTGGCTGCTCGGGATGTGTCTCTGTCGCCTCTGCAGGAGGCACCTCGGTTCCCCGGTTCCCTGAGGAAACCTCTCCTCTCAGCGATGATGGTGACATGTCTGCGTGTCTTCGAGGCTCTGCTGTGCAGAGCCACTGCAGGCATCTGGAACAGGAGGCTGCAAATCTGGTCCCCAGTCTTGAAGGGGGACGAGAGGTTAGGTAAATTTAGGGCTAATAAAACTTTTATTGCTAGTTTTTAGATAAACACTCCTTAAATGATTAACCTGACTATGTGCAGCTAATAGGCAGCTGATCGTAAGTTTAGGGTAATCAAGGGGATGGCACAGAAGGAAGAGAGCAAGGCCAGGCTTCGTCCTGCTCTTAGTGACCCACTGGGCTTCTGCAGGACTGAGTAAAGAGTCACTGCCTTTAGCGAAGGCAGCTCCTCTAAGTCCCTGTTACACTGAGACAGGTCCTCAGGGTAGGGTCCCCCAATCAAGCAAGCAACCCAGGTAAACCAGGATCACCTGAGGAATGCCTTGCCCTGTGGCCACCAAGTCATGGCACATTAACCAAGGGCCAGAAGGAAGAAGACTGCTCTGGGGGTGTCCGGGATCCAGGGCACAAATACACCGCACCCTCTGTCTCCCACAGCAACCTTAGCCCAGCCACTGGGACTGCTCTGCCGTGGGACCATGGGGCCTTTGCTCAGCCTCGCTCCCTGGTGTTTAACCATTACCACATGCTCAGCAGTTGAGACACGGTGAGGCCTTCCTGAGCATCTTCCTGTTTGTTTCTTGGTTCTTCCCAGTGAAATGGTCATTACCCCCCAGTCTATGGGGCAGAAAACAAGGTTTGGAAGAAAGTGGAAGGAGCTGGGAGTCAGGATTCAGAGAGAGGCCTTTGGATATTGACGCCTCCGTTTACTTAGTCTTTCTGTGCCTCAGTTTACTCACCTATAAAATGAGAGTAATAATGGTATCTGCTTCATAAAGAGCCCATATGGATTCAACAAGTTAAGATGTGTAAAACACAGTAAGGAGGATGCTCCTGAGGTTAAATTTCTGAGTCCAGTTTTCACCCTTCTTCCAAATATTTAGTGAACCCCAGAAAGGCGACCTAAGTTGGTGACCAAAAGAATGAGCTCATTCAGACCACTGCCTCTTAACCGAGAAAGTTACTTAACCTCTCTGAGCCCATTTCCTCATCTGGAAAATAGAATGATGATAACATCCTATTTCATCAGGATATTGTGAGGGGTAAGTTAATCTATGTAGAGCTTGAAAAATATTAGTCATCCACAATTAAGGGGACCAAGTGTACCAGATTGGTGGGATTGAGGAGTTTCTGGAGACATGGAATTTTTAGTATTAAAGTCAGGTAAGGAGCGGAGCGGGAGGCCGGACCCGGGAGCCGAGCGGCGGCGGCGGTAATGACGGAGCTGGTGCAGGGACAGAGCGCTCCGGTGGGCATGAAGGCCGAGGGCTTCGTGGACGCCCTGCATCGGGTCCTGCAGAAAGCCACAGGACTCACTTGTGTTAGAAGAAGGCCTCCACTCCAGAGCTTGAAGATGTGGTCTTTCGGTCTCTTTCCAGTATTCCAGGGGAGGCATCCTTTCTGTCTCCCACATACTGACTTTTCATGTTAATATTGATGCTCCTGTAGACATTATATTGGATCCCAGAACTTTCCAACCCTGTGGTTTCACCTAAAATTTTGTCTGACGAATTGTTACTTACTGCCCAGGTACCAACTGTTACTGTAGTATCTCCATCTTAGACTTCAGTCACCTTCTGTCTACAGTGGATGAACATACCATCCAGCCCCCCTACAACACTGCTTGCTACTTTCCTCTGCAGTACAGGGTCCTCGACCTTGTTTCTCACTGGCTACTAATATGTAATGCCTATCACTCTGTGCTGATATGTGACAATCACCTTGTTGGCCTTCTGTGTCCTGGAAGAATTGTAGCCACTACCTTAAAGAGCTCAGATCCTCAGTTTGCAGAAGGCCTGTAATTGAACATAAAATGATTTTGAAACATTGCGAAGACTTTCTACTTCTCTTGAGGCAGTGGTTGAACTCATACTCTCGGACAACCTGCTCAAGAGGGAGACTCTCAGGTGTTAAATGCTGACTTAATGTGGATTGTTGAAGCAGTGCTGTTTACTACTAGCAGTGACACTTCATTGGAATTGTTCTCAGCTTTGAGATGCACCATTGACTGGAGCCATAATAGCCCAATGGAGCCAGGGCTGTTAAGTGTGTTCCTTCTGAATGTTATCAGCTGGAGGTCCATACTATCTTCAAGGATTTGATGGCCTTTAAAAACTAAAGAAAAAAAAAAAACAGGTTTGTGGGTAATTTTAGGTTTATTTTACAGTTCGTATTGGGCAAGAATGGAATGTTAGAAATCTGTAATATTGTGTGATAACAGTAAAGCTTACCTCAAAGGACCTCATACTATTTGGGCATCTGGGTGGTCATGGTTTTCCTTCTCCATAGTATATATAAGCATATTGCAGAAACTTGATCCCCTTGCCCCCCAGCAAGTGGAAATAGAGACAGTATATTTCTTTATGTGAGTGACTATAGACCTCTTATATGTCCTTGTAAATACCAGCGACTGTAGGACCTTCATACTTTTGTTAAGAAAGTTGTAAGCTGTCTTGTGCTCGGTTTTTCTAGCCAATTGAGTAGAGTCTGAGTTCACCCTGCTGGGATTTGAATCCTTGCTTTCTTTTCAATCTGGTATATGGAGTCTAGCACCTAATCCACTGAGCTTCTCTTCTGGCATCTTGAAGCCTTGTATATCCTTTGGACTCTTTCCAACAAAGTGATCCAATGGTTGCTGTTAGTTTACTCAAGCATGGTATTCTGAGATCAAAAGGGAGTCTCGGAAGATGTTCCATGAAATTTTTTTCTCAGCGGGAGGTCCAGTGAGTTACTAATGTTTGGCACAAATGGGTAATTAATTTATATCTGTTCTGAAGGGTAGTAAACATGTGATATGATTCAGTCCTATTGATGAAGATCTAAAAGTGTTGGGTATTAAAAAAACATAGCTAGTATATAAACTAGCGCATAATTCATTGGATGGTTAGCGGAATTAAAGTGTGTCTTTAACTAGTTTGGAGAGGCCAGGATCTTAATAAAGGTTGGATGTGAGTTCAAAAAATAAATAAATAAATAAATAAAGTCAGGTAAGTTCTGGGCAAACCAGGGTGAGTTGGTCATATTGTTACTAATAGTGTACATATGTGTGCATATATATGAATACACTTTTTTTTTTTTTTAATATTTATTTCTTTAGTTTTTAGGTGGACACAGTATCTTTATTTCACATTTATGTGGTGCTGAGAACCGAACCCAGTGCCTCACGCATGCTAGGCGAGTGCACTACCACTTGAGCCACATCCCCAGCCCTGAATATACTTTTTTAATATTTATTTTTTAGGTGTAGATGGACACAACACAATGCTTTTATTTTTATTTGGTGCTGAGGATCCAACCCGGGTCCCTCCCGTGCTAGGCGAGCGCTCTACCGCTGAGCCACAATCCTAGCCCCATACATATTTTTTATTTTATTAGTTTTTTTGCAGTACGGGGGATTGAACCCACGGATACTCTGAGCTATGTCCCCTGTCCTTTTTTAGTTTTTATTTTGAGACAGGGTCTTGCTGAATTCCCAAAGCTGGTCTCAAACTTGCAATCTTCCTACCTCAGCCTCCCAAGTGGCTGGGATACAAGCATATGCTACTATGCCTGACAATAATAGTATTTATTATTATTACAGACAATATCTTGCCAACTGCCATGGAGGTACACTGTTAAATGAAAGTTCACTAGGGTTTCAAGGAGCATAATAGGAAAAGGAAAGACCAACAAAATATAACTCAAAATAGAACACAGAATATGTGAAATATACTTTTATAATATATAAAATAGTTAGAAAAATTCCTCTCGCAGGGCACAGTAGTGCAGGCCTGCAATCCAGCAGCTCAGGAGGCTGAGGCAGGAAGATTACAAGTTTGAGGCCAGACTCAGAAATTTAGCAAGGCCCTAAGCAACTTAACAAGAACCTGTCTCAAAGTAAAAAAAAATAATAATAATAAGAGCTGGGGATGTGGCTCAGCAGTTATGCACCCCTGGGTTCAATCCCTGGTACCAAAAAAAAAAAAAAAAAAGGATTTTGAATGTTTCACCTCAAGGTAACTATAAATGTTTTAGGTGATAAATATGCGAATTACCCTGATTTGATCATTCCCCAAAGTATACATGTATCAAAAGATCACATTGTACCTGTAAATGTGTGCAATTACTGTGCATCAAAAACAAAACCACCGCCAAGACACTGATTAGTGCCTTCGAGATGCTGAAGCACAGAGGCAAGGGCCTTGCGGGAGGGCCCAGTGCTTACCCAGCTACCCACAGTGTCCTCCAGATCACCACCAGCGACTGTTTGCTCTAGTCCACCAGGGAAATGCGGTTCCATTTCTGGGCGAGTCTTGTTTCTTTGCTTGTTTGGAAATGGAATCTCCCAGGCTGGTATCAAACTCCTAGACCCCAGGGACCCTCCCTCCTCCGCCTCCCTGGAGCACTGGTGCCAGTCACCCCAAAAGGAACCCCCTTGCCCACTAATCAGTCACTCCCCCTTCCCTATCTGTCTCTGGATTTGCCCGTTCTGGCCATTTAATATAAATGGAATCGTTCATACCATCTGTGGTCCTTTGCGTGGCTGCTTCTCGTCTTTTCAAGGTCATGGCATTCTCTGTACCCAGTGGTGACATGCTTCATTCCTTTGTGTGGCGGAATGCTATTCCCTTG